TGTCAGTTCAGTCCACCAACCACAGAGAATCTGACCTCACACAGGAGGAGGCAACTGGGCTTGCCTCACCAGGAAAACCTACAGGTTGCATTGGTGCCATGTTGGGGTTTTGCTCCATCGGATGGCATGTGCCCTGATCCACTAGGGGCATATTTGACTCAGAGCAAAGCAGAGCATCAAATGTGATTTATGTTACAATAAATGTTATCTCTTTGGTCCCACTGAAATTACTGATGGATTTTTTATTTCATACATGTATGCATTTTTGTTTTATTTTTCTATTTAATTTCTTAAAGGGAGAGAGCAAGATGCCCAACTGCAGTCTCATCGCATCATGCCAAGATGACTGTAGCGTAGGGTTTTGTATCAAGAGAGCCAGGTTGAGGTGACTGTCTACAGTTTGAGAAGGAAAAAAGCAAACTGTCAAAAGACTGTCAACTTTGGTGATGTGTTATTAACAGGCAGGTAGGTCAGACTCAAAGCAGCTCAAAGTCATTCTGGCAATGGAGAGGCACTGCGGTGAAAACACTAACAGGAGCTGCGGGTAACATTGCTTGTAGCAGCAACAGTGTTTGTATAGTGACACCTGCAACCAGTAAATACAACCAAATACAATAAATAAGTACATCAGGAGTAAGGAGGCCAAGAAAATGGATGAGCACATCTTTTTTTAACTGCTGTTTACTGCTGTGCTACTGTTTAGTGTTAATAATTAATTAGAACAGCGACTAGCATGATGATGTTGAGTCATACATCAGGTCAATAAATGGGGGAGGGCTGTAATGTGATTACTTTCATGCATTCAGTATGTATTGTAGGCTATTGTTATTTTAAGTCCCACAATGCACAGAGGGGTATTTGTGCTTTGAAATGGAGAACTTTTGTTTAGTGTGCTGTAAACAGTGAACATTGTTTAAACAACAAAATTGCTGATTGTGGCGCTGTCCATGGTGCTGAAGCAGGGCAGATTAACAGATGTCACCCAGACACGGAGATTAGAGATCGGACCATAAAGAGTTGCCCTTTCATGCGCACCACTTGACTTTCTGGTGAAATACCAGCCTGTTAGTCCAGTCAGCCATGCCTCTGATTGGCCAATCTTGTAGAACTTGATGTTTAAAAAGGAAACACATTACAGAAAAGTCAATCCCTCTGAAATGTGTGCCATGAATCCTGAGTTAGAGAGAGAACTTTTTTTTTTTTTTTTTAATTTACTTATGTATTTTAATTGTGACCCAGGCCTAAATATGTTTACTTTTGAATTTTTTTTTCTTTAATTAATTTTTTTATATGTTTTTATCTCCGTTTTTATTTTTTTTTCATTTTCATTTTATTTTTTTTTTTTCAATTTTTTTTTTTTTTCAGTGCTTCAGTTGTGGATCCCAGGAAGACTAGCAGTGCTGCAGAGTGCAGCTAATAGGGATCCTAACAAATAAACAAGCCTCAAGCAGGCACTCAGGGGGGACTGCAGTTAATAGCACTGCATCTCTCAGGACTAGGGGTTGTCTGTCTGAGACCCAAATGCAAATTTTAGCGGGACTTGCTGCTCTTTGTTGATTGACTTTATTGTATCTGCGTTCTCTCATCAATATGTTCAATATAAAAAATTTCTCCAACTGGGAGGTCTAGTATGACCCCTAAGGGTGTCACAGTGTGTTATAATGGTACTTTAGCTGACTGATTCAACAGGACCCAGAATGGGGAGGCTGTTTACTCTACCGGGTAAGCAGGATATCAATTATTAAGAGAGGCTTAATTCTGAGCTTGTCAAAGTGCTCTATTCAGAGGGGTTCATCATGTCCTGAACTGGCCAGTCAGCGCACATCTGATTTTAATACACTGCCCTGACAGCTACTGCAGTTTCATCAGATATAAATTAAATCATCCAAACACACCATTATGTTTATATTCAAACAGATGCACACTGTTCCTGAAGAAAATTAAGATGAGCAGTTAAAGTACAGCTAAGTTGATTTTCTACCCCATCTTTCTTTTACCCTCCATCCACATAAAAAATCCATCTTTGCTGCCTGAGATCTTGTATCTATCAGGCTCGTAGGTGCTGTAATGGTTTACACTCTTTTTAAATATCAGCAGCATGCAGTTTTATTGTTTGGGAACGATAAAGGGAGGATAGGAGGAAATTGTGGGTTAATCGCAATTATTTATTTTTCACATTCAGCACTATGAAAAGACCACAGCAGGGAACACCACCATTGTTAGCCCACCAGTGCTGTCTTCGTACTGCAACATGGCAATGAACAAAACATATTTTTAGCCCTCACGAGAGATTTTATTTTTTGCATTTCATATGAATTCTCTTTATTGTTCTCGTCCCAGTTTTTCCTTTCAATAGACTAGAAGCAGTTGGAGGTTTCATTGTGCCATCACAGACAAAATGCTGTTCCAAAAGCTTCAGACCTTGACAAGAAAAAGACTCACTTTCAATTCACATTTCACTAAAAAATGCTTTTCACTTGACTAAAGCATTTGGATCTTCTTATATTTTTTCTTTACAGTATCCAGGACAAACCACATAGTTAAAAAATGCAGAACCTGCAGCTGTTGATCCAAACTCTGGCAATTCCTTATCACACAGACATGATCAATAACTCCAACATAGAAACTTGACTCACGTTAGGTTGTCAGATACACACAGCAAGGGATCAATCTTATCAGAGAGCGGTGCCACAAACACACCACTCTTGGAGAAAGTGGGTCGATGGATGCAGCTGTGTCACACTTTAGAGCCTTTCTGACATTTGATCTGCAAAATTTTTTCACCCCTTTTTTTTAAAAAAACCTTGCACTTCACTGAATCCTACCAGTCTCTTTAAGTTTGCATTAATGAGTACAACAGAGTAACTTATTGAGCAGGTACAACCCTTTCAAATCTAGGACCAGCCCTGTGAATTTGATATATATATATATATCTGAATATATCTATTCAGTCCCCTTATTGAACTGGTCCCCCTCAAGGCTGTCAACTGGATGCATTTTGGATGTGCCAATACCAAAATAACACATCTGAAGGATTTGAGGGTTCATTTTGGGGCCCCAACCATTCAATTTACTGCAGTGTGTGTTGTTTGCAGATAACATATTTTTTTTGGTTAAACCTTTTGCAGAAAGTATAGAAAATAAAATTGTCAAACTTTGGTTGAAAGTTTGCACAAAATGCACAGACAGATGCCAAAAAGCAGATTTGATAGTGGTTGCTACTGGTTACAAAGCAGAAATGTAGGAATGCCTGATAGAAAAGTTGGTGGACAGGGGAAAGATAAAGATATAGCCTTGGCCTGTTGGCGCACATGAGGGTGCAGAAGAGGAGGCAGAGGCTGCCATGGATGCTCCAACCCTCAGTACCCGGAAGAGGTGGGAGCAGAGGCTGCCACAGTCACTCACACACACTTATAGAGGCTGATATTAACAGAGGACCTCAAACTGGCTCTGTGTCTGAGAGAGGCTGAGTTTGCAACAAAGGCCTGAGTGGTCAAGACAATGCACCTCTGCATAAGAGCACTGGACCTGGAAAAACCTTGTGTGGTCTCCCCTGCTGGTCTAAATCCACCACAGGGAAAGTGAGGTCAACTCTTATTTCAATGCCTTTGAGAGAATCATAGCAACTTTAAGTTGTCCCAAAGATGTGTGGGGCCTCGTGCTCTGGTGTAAATCGGTAGGACCGGCACAGGGGGTCGGTGATATACAGTTTGCATATACAGACAAGCTTGTAAGCCTTCTCCGATCAACTCCTACTTCATTCCTTGTTTTGTATACACACTTAAGGACATTTTTACATCAATAAATCTCATATTTAATGTTGTATCTAGTTCAAGATCACTCAAGTGTCCTTGGCACAATGTATTTATATGCAAATATATAACCTACAACCATAGCACCCCCTGCCGTGTACAGGAAATTACGTATGACCATGGTCGACCCCGAACACATGTATGTGCTTATCTTATTATTAACATGTTGCAGCCACTATGGAAAAACATAGAATGATTTTTGAGAACAAAGACCAAACTGCTCCAAAAAAAAAAAAAATCTTACATTAAATTGTGGTCATATCCTGAATTTATCTTCATATGCATTTTAGTCAGAGCCATAATTTCCATCCGTCCATCCCACCATCCATCTTCTACCGCTTACCCGAGTCAGGTCGTGGGAGCGGCAGCCTTGGCAGGGAGGCCCAGACCTCCCTATATTTGGCTTGTGGCTACACCATCTAGCTCTTTCCGGGGGACCCGATCTTCCTTCAGTTACCACCCACATCTCATGACCATAGGTGATGGTAGAAACAACCATTATATTATAAGCTACGCCTATTGGCTCACCTTTCTTTTTACCACAACAGCGAGCGTCCCTATCTCATCTGACGCCGCACCAATCTCCCTGTCGATCTCCTGCTCCATTCTATAGATAAAAGTCAGCTATACTGTATCAATTAAACAAGCATACTGATAGTACCAGCCTGTGCTCATAGAAACTGTTCAATAAATGGGATACAATAAGTGTATAATTTCCTTTGTGCACATGATGTAAGCATGTAAGTCTTACAAGAGTTAGGCCATCTAGAGTCGAGTTCAAAAATCAGAGTTGATCATTTGAATAATGTAGCATCTTTACTCACCTGGGCTTTACACAACAAGGGCGTCGTCTGCATGACAGCTGCAGAACAGCTTGATTTTCATTTGAGCGCACATGTTGATATCAGAGCAATTAGTCCGTCAGTGTGAACGTGTCTCACATGCCAAATCTCGAGGGCTAATTTTTGTTGTAAGCCTGTCGCAGATCCCAGCCAGAATAGACAGGGAAATTTGTAATTCAAATGCTGTCTGGTTTTGTATCAACTTTGGTGACATATAAAGTTATTATTCAATCATTTTGCTACTTAATGTGAATGGAAATTTAAATTAATCCCTCGTATTAAAGGAAAACCAAAATCTTACAGGCCTACCAAGAGTGTTCAGCTGAAGATTGGTTGATGTAAAGATCATTGTAGCGATTTTAAATTCAAAATAAATGTCGAAAATTAATCAAATTAAATTATGACATTTATGCACTCGTTGAAGGGGCACCACCCACCTTTCTGGTGGGAAAAAGGACGAAACAAAGTTCAATTGAGTAATTAAACGTTGGATCAGTCTTACACAGATTTAAATCAGTCTCTCATCTGAGGCCGGAATTCTTCATTCAGGGACTACTTTCTGAAAGACCACTAAGACGACAACTTAGAATTAAATGGACAATTTATTAACAAGCTATATGATAACAAAATGTCAATAAATGATGATCAAATAATGAGCAAATCAAAGCACATCTAATGAATAAACGAAGGAATGGTTTAAATTAAACCTAAGACTGGAGGTTAATAATAGTGAGTGAATAAAGGGGAAATTTAACCTACGTTAACGGAGTTACGAGGGTAAATAAAAGGAATTTGGAGAACTAAACTATAATTTATAAGAGTAAGCTACTGAACGGTTGACGGCATCACCCAGTTCTCATCACAGCAGTTCAGAGGATTTAGCCTACTTTGGACGTCGGTTCTCAGCGGCACCCTTGGAATGGATCGGATCAATGGAATGGATCAATTGGTTGCAGATTAATTCGCGCCAATAACTTAAGAAAATAATTTCGCTGGCCAGCCGATATTATCTTCAGGAGTCACTTTAGCGAACAAAAATACAAAGACTTAGACTGAGGTTCTCTTATGCGCGCAGCTTGTTACTGAGGCTCTAAAGGACTTGGGAATGCTTTCATCCAAGTTTAGAATAAAAATCTGAGCTTAAGGCAATTAATAAAACGCGGGGAAAATTGCGAACGCTAGGCGAAGACAAAAGAAAACTAGACGAAGACAAAAACGGAAGAGACAAAAACTGAAGAGAAGACAAAACTGAAGAGAAGAAAAAACTGAAGAGAAGAAAAAACTGAAGAGAAGACAAAACTGAAGAAAAACTGAAGACCGAGCAAAGACTCCCGGGCTCTTTTAAACCATCCCGTGTGGGCGTGAGCCAAGAGGAAAGTTACAGCCAATGCTGTAACCCGATGCCGCACATCGACTGGCAGCGAATTTAACTCAACTTGATATTAAAAGCGAGCTAGATCTAATTTACTCACTCACTATGATTAAACTGTTTATAACATCACATACGATCACATTTCACTTCATTGTTTCTTATGAGCAGACGCATTAAAGCATGACATTGCAAACAGTAAACTTTGATCAGCCGTCTTCTTGACACTAACAGAGGATTAATGACTTTTAAAAGTTAGAGAGGGACAGAAAACAAATTATCTATTCGAACAGAAACACCATCCAGCATAAGAAACACATACGTAATAATATTTGACAACATTATAACCTTGTCAATCAAGCTTCCCAGATGATTAATATATATTTTTGTGTGAGGTAGATAAAACATAGTATGGATACCTTCCGAAACTCTTAACTTGAGTCTAAACGAGTTTCACGTTACTACTTCTAAACTACTAGCCTATCTTGGGAATACCATTTACTAAGCTACGAAGTGTATAACAAAAGGAAAGAAATACACGTGATTAGATTCCTGCCATTTGGCTCTGATCAAACCATATTCAGGCATCACCACTAGGAGGAGCTCTTGGTCCATGGAAAACCTGGAATAAATTTGTGAAGTTAACAGTTTGGCTTGTGGATATGTTACAGAATTGGAAAAAAGACCATTTCATTAAGAATGTGGTGTACAGACAGAAAATCCTGGTGAAGTGTCCATTAAACATGAAGTTAAACCATTTTCAGTCATCTTCTTCCTTCTGCTCTGTAAAGAAAGCCAAGGAATTTATGGCAGGCATCTGGTTTTTCAGATTTGGCGCCAACTGGCCTGTTTTCCCCCCTAGGTCATTGGGTTAATCCTGAAGTGTCAATTCTGATCTTTCCCAACCAGGGTGAGAGACTCCGTGTTTATGGGTCTGTGTGGTTGATAAGCAACTTGTCCTTTTTGGGAAGCGTTAAAGATTCACTATCACCTCCCAAATGGTTGCCTGGGTCGTAAATGGGAACTTGGTGTGCAAACCGTTACTCCCCCATTTCCTGTCCAAACCAGAGGAGCCTGCATTCCTTTGAGGGGTGAATTCAAGGTGGATAGCAGAAAGCAGTTGTCTCATTACATATCCCCCCTTCGTCTCGATGGCAGCTCCAGGAGCCATTGGGACGACGAGATGAGACGACCAGGTGGAAGCAGCAGTTAGTCCAAGGAGGGTGATGCGTCTCGTTCAGAACTATCTACTTCGTTAGATCTATTGTGTGTGTTAAGCCTACTACATCTATGGGTGCGGGGTTACAGGAAGCTGACTACACCTCGAGCATGTGGCTCACCTTGTCTTCCTCTGGCTGTTCAACTTCCTGTTCCGTTTCAGGTTGTCTACGGAGTCGTAACCTAGTTACACAGTGGTCTATTTTGTACTGTAGGGCTTTACCACGTTTAACGTAGATGAAGGTTAACCCGAAGGTCAGGAGGTACCCTAACACTATGGCGGCTGCTAGTAAGGTGTCTGGGGTGGACCAAACATAGACTATTGGTTGCAGCGGGGACTTCTCTTGGGACCTTATGTCTATAAGGACGTCATCTACAGGCGTTAGGTCAATGATCTGAGTACCTGCATACTGGATTTGAGAAATAGTGTTTGGATCTAACTGCAGCGTATGCTTGCTGAAAAACGCTGGCACTTCAATCTCTGTTTCGAATTGCTCAGGGTTGAGGTAAAAGAGGGCAATGTCATCTATATGGAGAATGGCATTTGGTGGCACCTCAATCCACATGGTCTGATCCAGTAGAGAAATGCGTGTGGCAGTATCGTGCTGGTCGTAATTTACAATGGCAGTCTTGGTGGGGGTGTTAACTAACCAACGGTGACCCACTCTTTCGGCCTGCGTTACAGTCACTTGTGAGCGGTGTCTTGCTGTAGTAGGGCATTTGGTGTCGGCCACCATGGGCGTAAGGCCGCAGAGGCCATTAGTACTGTCCCACACAAATGGTTTACTGGGGCAGAGGTAGTGTATGTCTTTGGTTCGTGTGCACATACGCAGGTTAGGAGCTAGATATAGGTCAGGATTGCTGTCGTGGTAAGCGACCACTGGTGGGGTCTGAATTTGGAGGTGTGCGTCCTCTTTCCAAAACCCGACATTGACTACATCCTTTAGCCTATAGATGCTTCCTGATGCTATAATTGGCAAGTTAATAAGGAAAGCAATTTCTCGATCTTCGGGATTAACGTAGATCGGCACAGCGCTACCTAGGGTATACGCGAGGTGGGCTTGTAAAGGAGTGGTGGCCTCTCTGGTTGCAGTTGATAGTAAATCCTGAACCAATGAGAGAGGTACCAAGTACGGAGGAATCCGGCCTGCAGCCAAACTGTCTATTGAGGATGATATTTCTTGCAACATGTCTGACATGAGCATATTCAATAGCATTGTGTGAGCATAGTCGACCTGGACCACCGACAACAAAGAATTTACAGCACGCAGCGTCTTATTCAGGACTTCTGTGTGGGTGTTAACCACCAGAACGGTGCCCTTGACTGTTTGACCAATAGTCTGCAGTTGTGTCTGCTGTCTGTTTATCTGAGCCCTGATGTCTGGGATTTCGGCTTCTAGCTCACCCACATGGCGTTTGACGGCAGCTAAGCTAATTGCATTAACAGAGGAGAGCCCAACACCAAAAAGAGAGCCAACAACCGAGGCTGCGGTGAGCAATGCTCCGATAAAACGCTTGGACCTCCTGTTGGTACCACTTAACTCTGTTTGAGAGACAGTGAATTTCTGAAGTTGCTCTAACATGTAAGTAATGTCCAACTCGGCATGATTTACGACCTGTCTGCTCCAATGTGTCCCGGCCCAACTGGTCAGTTGAGCTGTTACCGGAACATTTTTCTTGAGGACTTCCTTAGGGTTGAGCCTGACAAACACCTTCTGTGTGTGCAGGCGACAGTCTGTTATCAGGAGTCCAGGCTGATCCCTTAACACAATTCCAGAGTCCGGTCCTGGCTCTATGATCTCAGGGCTAGCTGGAGCAGCTACCAAGCCGAGAATCAGGAGCGCTATCAGCCAAATCATCCTGAGGAAGAGGGTGGACATAGTTAGGATGAGTTGGTAGAGGACAATCTAGAATTCAAATGTTCCCTGTCACTTTATTTTCTCCTCCCCCCTTTGTAACCCAAAGTGTGCCCGAGGGCAACTCAGTGGCAACAATTCAACAATAATACAGACGCACAAATAGGATAAACTTCACGTGGACACAATATCTATGAGGACTAGGGGACCTGACGTCAATCAGGAGAACTTAGGACTGTTCTAGTTTATGACTCAAGGGTGGCGCTGGAGGCCCCGACAAGTCCCATGGGGTTGTGGTGAAGTTTAATCTGGTTGCGGTGGACCCATTTAAGGGTCGGCTCTTTGTTGCCCTTTGCGATCTTAATTTGGTACACAACAGAAGAGAGCTTTTCAGTGATCAGGTACGGGCCTGCCCAGCGGGGCAGGAACTTTCGTGCCAGTCTCCCAGACTTTGGGGCTTTATCTCCAGTGGGCTGGGTGAACAGGTAGTACCATACCTTGTCACCTACTTGGAGTTCCTGTTGGGAGGCTTTTTGGTCATAATAGGACTTACGTCCTTCAGCACTTTTGCTGAGATGCTCTTGGGTGAAGGCAAACGTTGCCTTCAGGTGCTGGTGTAAGTCAGTCATATACTGATGGGTCGTGTAGGCCGTTGCTATACTGGCCTCACCTGGCTGATACAGCAGGTGCAGAGGTAGGGTCATCTGTCTGCCCGTCATCAACTCGAAGGGTGAGAACCCGGTTGACCCATGTGGAGTCGCTCTGATGGCCATCAGGACCAAGGGAAGCTTAACATCCCAGTCCTTGTGGTTGGCTAACACATACTTTTTCAGTATGGTTACCACTGTTCGGTTTGCCCGTTCTACCTGTCCAGACGACTGGGGGTGGTGGCTGATGTGAAAGTTGGCTTTAACGCCCAACAGTTGCCACAGTTGTTGCATTACCTCTGAGGTGAAATGTGTCCCTCTGTCAGAGTCGACACGAGTTGGGAGTCCGAACCGCGAGAAGATGTGGTTCATCAAGAGGTATGCTGTGGTTTGAGCCGTATCGTTTGGGGCTGGTAGGCATTCTACCCATTTGGTGAATGCACAGACAACTGTGAGGAAGTATTTGTTTCCTCTTGCTGACTTAGTGAGAGGACCCACCCAATCGATCTGGAGGTCTGACCAAGGAAAGGAGATACCTCTGCGCTGTAGAGGTGCTCGATGGAGTGGGTTTGCCGGTTGAAACTGGCAGCAAACCAGGCACCCTTTTATATAATCAGCTACATCTTTCTGCATGTGTGGCCAATAGGCCACCTGTTGGAGAGCATGGAGCGTGGCTTTGTTTCCTCTGTGTCCTGCGCACGGTGTGTCATGGGCATATGTCAACATCACCCCCCTGTGGCTGCGAGGCACCACGAGGGCAGGCGAAGTGAGTGCATCGGAGACATAAACCAGAAAGCCCTTGACGAGCCGCAGCGAAGAGCGCACGCGGAAAAGATGGCGCAGGCCAGGGATGGAGTCAAGCAAGTCAGGAGGCATGGAGGAGTCAGGAGGCCCTGAAAGGAACTGCGTCATGGCAGCAATGGCTGGGTCCGAAGCTTGGAGCACCAGCAAGTCAGAGTCAGAAAAAGCCGGAGCCACAGTGGCGGAGACCGGGCCCGAGGGAGCCGGTGGAGCTCGAGACTGGGCTCTGGTGACAGCACAAACCCGGGGCACGGGTGGGTGGGGAAAAACAGAGGGCTCAAAGTGCCAGTTTGAGCCAGTTAAGGCCCCCTGCTTGGCCAAGGAGTCAGCCTGGTCATTAAACATCTTGTCTGGACCAGGGATACGAGAGTGCCCCCTGACTTTCTTCCAATAGATCTGGAGATCATGGTTAGAGGTCAAGAAGTCGCACGCCAGGAACAGATCTTTGTGTTTGACCGGCTTTCGGTTCGAGGTCAAGAAACCGTTGCGTTTCCACAAAGGCAGATGACATGAGAAGCTGAGTCGCGCATAGTTGGAATCTGTACAAATCGTTAAGGCGTGGATTTTGTGTTCCACCGCAAGTTGCAAAACAATCAGAATGCCTGCCACTTCAGCATACTGGGACGTTTGGGCCCCTAGGTTGAAGCTGAGTGGTTCACACGGTTCATCGTTGACCCAGACAACACCCACGCCTGCTCTAAGAACAGTGTCGTGATGGTATGAACAACCATCAACGTAAGCTGTAATCATGTCTTTGCAGACATTGTCGTCGAAGTACCGGTGGCAAGATAATTCAGGTGGCTCGGGGTCGCAGGTTGGGGACCCTGTGTCCGCGCTGTCTGTCAAGCA